GGGCAAGCTGCGGCGCGCAGAGTCGCGCGCGTCCCTGGGCAGCCAGCGCAGCCGCGTCAGCTTCCTCAAGAGCGACCTCAGCTCGGGCGCCAGCGACGCCGCCTCCACCGCCAGCCTGGGCGAGGGCGCCGACGAGGCCGCGCCCTTCGAGGCCGACATCGACGCCACCACCACCGAAACCTACATGGGCGAGTGGAAGAACGACAAGCGCTCGGGCTTCGGCGTGAGCGAGCGCTCCAGCGGCCTCCGCTACGAGGGCGAGTGGCTGGACAACCTGCGCCACGGCTACGGCTGCACCACGCTGCCCGACGGCCGCCGCGAGGAGGGCAAGTACCGCCACAACGTGCTGGTCAAGGGCACCAAGCGCCGCGTGCTGCCGCTCAAGAGCAGCAAGGTCCGCCAGAAGGCGGAGCACAGCGTGGAGGGCGCCCAGCGCGCCGCCGCCATAGCGCGCCAGAAGGCCGAGATCGCCCTCTCCAGGTAGGACCCCCGGGTAGGGGCAGAGGGCATGGGCCCCACTGGGGGAGGGGTCCTGGGGCAGGGCAACCTAGGAGGCCGTGTCTCCAAGCCTGTTTGTGCTTCCTTCAACGTCAGGGGTTCCCCCTCATGATCTTTAGAGGGTTAATTGGAGGCACTTCAGCATATGGTGTCACCTGTTCACCCGTCTATCCGCTCAACTACTCCAGTCCACCCATTCACCCAACCCCTCCATTCACTTAACCATTCCATTTACCCAACCTTTCTAATATCCGCCTGAACAACCATCTCTCCACCCAACTTTTCACCCCACCCACCTACCCACTCCACTTTCTGTTTACCCATGCAACCATCCAGTCACCCATCCATCCACCCAACCCTTTCATTCACTTAACTTGTCTACTACCCACCTGCACAACCCCTCCATTCACCCAATCCCTCTATCTATCCAACAATCTCCAGTCACTCAGCCTCTCTAACATCCACCTGAACAACCACCCATCCACCCATCCATGCCCTCATCCACCAACCACCTCCGTTCACTCAATTGCTACCATCCATCAAGCTACCCATCCTAACATCCAGCCATGCATCCATTCACGCAGCCACCTCCATTCACCCAATTACCTCCATTTATCCAACCACCCCATCACCCAACCATGCTTCCATCCACTGAAACAACATCCACTCCCACCCACCTACCCAATCATCCACCCACCCACCCACCCAGCCACCTCCATCACCCAACCATACTTCCATCCAACAATTCATCCACACTTTCCATTCACTCAATCCCTCCTACCCACCCACCCGCCAGCCCTGCGTCCATTCAGCACCCACCCTTTCATTCATATTCAAACCGTTCTATGTCTTCTCATTGTACTTCAGAAGTTCTAATGTTGTCTTCAAACATTTATAGCACCTACTGTGTGCATGGTACTATTTTAAGTGGTTTACAAATATTGACTCATTCAATCTCCTTTACAACCGTCTAAGATCAGTATTATGTTTATTTCCATTTTACAGATGGGCTAAATGAGGCTCAGAGAGATAAAGTGACTTGTCCCAAATCACCCAGGTAGTGAGTGACCCTTCCTAATCTCATCCCTATCCTCCTATCCGGCTCCATTTTCTACCCCTCTTGCCCTGGGCTTGGATTTTTTTCTCTGTACTAGTCACACTGGCCTTTTATCATCCTTCTTTGTTTACTCCTGGCAGAGGCCTTTTGTTCCTGCTGGTTCCTCTGCCTGGACTGCTCTTCCTTATTCTTATTGCCCACTTAATTCCTACTCCTCCTTTGGACTCAGATCAAACCTGACTCCCTTGGAGAGCTGACGAGGCCCAGGCGCCGTCACAGGCCGACTCTCACTCAGCAGCATGGACGTTTCCTTGGAATGTCTCACAGCTGCAACTTTATGTTGTTTATGTGACCTGTTTTTAACCTACTTATAAAGGGCTCCCTATGTGCCAGTCGCTGTTTTGAGGTCTTTACATATATTAACTCATTTACTCCTCACAAGATCTTGACGAAGTAGGTGCTGTTATTGTCCCCTTTTTGCAAATGCAGAGTGAGCTCCAGGGACAGCAGCGGGTGTGGCAGGACAGCGGTGAAAGGCATGCGCCTGTCCGGCGCCTACAGCAACCCTGCTGGTGGCTCTGACGGCCTGGGCTGGAGGCTGTGGCATTGTGGTCTTCAGAGTTAAGCAGACCCGGGGCCAAATCTTGGCTCTACCGTCTTTGAGCTCAGAGACCTGGGCAGATCCGTTTGCCTGTCTGAGCTTCGGTTTCCCCATCTGTGGCACCACTACTTCTTAGTTGTATGTTCTTGGCTAAAGCATCCTCGATAGTCTCATCTATGAAAATGGGGTTGGCCTGACAGTTAAGAAAGATAGGGCAGGTCCAGTGGTTCACAGACCAGTCTTGGGGCAATTTCCTGGGCATCCACCTCTGAGATGGAGATCAGTGTGCAGGGAGTTTATGGGGGCGCCCTCAGGGTCATGGCTTGTGGGGAAGGGAAGTGAGCAGGACTGGGCAGAGGGAGACTCTGGGCTGCAGTGCAATCTCTGCAAAGGCCTCAGCCGGCCACAGGGGGCGCTGCGGTGGAGATGACCTTCAAAATTGTCCCACGTTGAGGCAAGGGAGCTGGACCTTTCCACCCTCTGCATTGGTGCAGGCTACCCTCCAGAAGGGGGCATGGCCTGGGGCTGGACAGCTCTCCTCAGCCAGGGGCAATCCGTGGACAGGGCTGATGGCGGCAGCACTCTGAGCAGCTGGGGGCCGGGGGAGAAATAAGTCCTCAGTCCTGAAACTGGGTGGCATGTCACAGTGTCCACTCCAGTGCTGGACACCTAGCAAGGGCTCAATGACTATCACTAGTCATTGTCGTCATTCAATGAGTTCGTTTTGCGGATGTGGAAACTGAGGCCCAGAAAAGGAATGTAATATGCCCGAGGTCACCTGGCAAGCACATGGGTGAAGCAGGCTGCAGCTGCCAGCTCTCTGGTCCCAAAGCTTTAACCAGCACATCTTGCTGTCTCTAACTCGGTAAACTATAAATTGCCACGGATGTGTGAGCAGTTAGTATCATTAAGGTGGAAAGAAGGTATGGGTGATTTTCTTAAGATTTCTTGGTTACGGGCAGAGCCAGGCTTACGAACAGGTGACCGCATAACTGACTGTTCAAACCTGGATACTTTTGGGAGTAAAAGGGGACACTTTTTAAAAATAAAATTTTTATGTTGGAATAATTTTAGATTTACAGGAAAGTTGAAAAATAGTATAGAGTTCCCATATACTCTCCTCCCAGTTTCCCCCACATTAAACTTCTTTTGCTGTTGTTAGTGCCGTTGAGTCAATTCCGACTCCTAGCGACCCTGTGGACAGCAGAGCGGAACCCTGTCTGGTCTTTTTGCACCATTCTCTCCCCTTCTGGCGCTGTATCAGACAATGCTCCCCTGCTATTCACAGGGTTTTCATGCCAATTTTTTCAGAAGTGAGTGGCCAGGTCCTTCTTCCTAGTCTGTCTTAGTCTGGAAGCTCCGCTGAAGCCTGTCCACCATGGGTGACCCTGCTGGTATTTGAAGTCCTGGTGGCATAGCTTTCAGTGTCACAGCAACATGCAGCCCCCACAGCATGACAACCAACAGACGGGTGGCGTTGGTTCCGTGACCGGGAAATGAACCTGGGCTGCATTGGTGTGGGCACCACTTCTTGACTGCTAGACCACCGTGAACTTCTTACATTACCAAACACATTCACCAAAGCCGACATGTGTACGTTACTATTAACTAAACTCCAGACTTTATTTGAATTTTACTAATTTTTCCAAAATTTTACTAGTTAGTCCTTTTTCTGTTCCAGGATCCCATATTGCATTTGGTTGTGTAGTCTCTTTAGTCTCCTCCGGTCTGTGACAGTTTCTCAGTCTTTCCTTCTTTTTCATGCCCTTGACAGTTTTGAGCAGTACTGGTCAGGAAGTTTTTAGAAAGTCCCTCAGTTTGGGTTAATCTGATGTTTATCTCATAATTAGGTTGAGATTATAGGTTTTGGGGAAGAGGACCACAGAGGTAAAATGCCCCTCCCTTCACATCATATCAGCGGCCATGACCTTGACATGACTTATCACAGATGGTGTGGACCTTGATCATTTGGTTAAGGTGGTGTCTGCCAGGTTTCTCTGCTGCAAAGCTACCATTTTCCCCTTTCCATACTATATTCTTTAGAATCCAGACATTAAGTTCAGCCCATACTTGAGAGGTAGAAGGGTCTGGAATTGAGCTCCAGAGGGAGTAGTATCAACATATATCATTTGGAATTCTTCTGTAAGGAAGATTTATCCCTTCTAAAGGGAACATTTTAAATTATTATGCCAAGTGTATATAGTTATGACGGGCATAAATCAGGACTGTCCTGGGCTCCCCCCCCGGGACATGGCACAGCTTACAGTAGGTAAGAGCTTAGACTCTTGATTTGGAAGACCATGAGCTGGAATTCTGGCTCTTCTACTGAAGAGCCGTATGACCTGGCCCAAGTTGCTTCACCACTCTGAACCCTGGATCCTCTTTCTTCCTAGGGTTGTTTTGAGGAGTAGATGAGCTAATGCTTGTACAATGCCTGGCACAGAGCAGCCAGCAGTGACAGCAGTCATTGTCATCATCTAATGTGTTCGATTTTAAAGGTGAGACAATGCAAGCTTGGGGAGAAGGAGGGATTTCCCCAAGCTCTTGCCTGTAGGGGACAAAATCTTGCCCCTCTCTACTCCTTGCTTTCCCTTCCCTCCTTGTCCTTCCTACAGCACCTGTGCCCTTGACTGTGAAGGTGTTGCCCTCCCTCCAGGAGGCTGCCAGGTCCAAGCCAGGAACTGAGTCTCTGGAGCAAGAAGGTGGTGTCCAGCTTACTCCACGTGGTGCTGCTCCAGGGGAGAGCAGGGGGATCTGGATTCCCCGGGTGTCTGAGGAACGTGTCCTGCAGGCCTGCAGGGTTGGTGCCTGCCATGGGGGGCGGGGAGCAGCTCCCTGGCTCGGTTTTAAGCTCAGACTGAATTTCCAATTAAGGGAAACTTTGGGTTAGGAGGAAAAGCAGGGTTGTCTCCCTCCCAAGGGCTTTGGTGAGTAATCGGGCTGCAGAGGAACAGGAAGCATCCCCAGCAGCCACCAGCCTCCTCGGCCCAGGAGGCTTGGGTCTCTCTCCATTGTGGCTGCGGGCTCCTTGCCCCAGGCTTACGTGGAACCTGTCAGCTCAGAGTCTAGGATCAGGACAGCTTTCCCAGGAAGAAGGGAGAAATCTGAGACGTCTTATCCTCCTAAAATGAGCTATGGATTGAAAAAGATTCTAGACCTGTGCTGTCCAATATGGTAGCCACTAGCCATATGTGGCTATCGAGCTCTTGAAATGTGGCTGGTCTGAACTGAGATGTGCTATAAATATGAAACACACACTGGATTTCAGAGACTTAGTAAGAAAAGAACATAAAGTAACCTCTTAGTATTTTTTATATTGATTAT